CTCCACATCAAACAACATCTTTAAGAAGCACAGGTGCGAGAGACGCGAGGAGAGAGAGAGTGAGCAGAGAGAGAGCGAGAGAGACGCGAGGAGAAAGAGAGAGAGAGAGAGGCGAGGAGAGAGAGAGAGAGAGACACGAGGAGAGAGAGAGAGAGAGGCGAGGAGAGAGAGAGAGAGAGGCGAGGAGAGAGAGAGAGGCGAGGAGAGAGAGAGAGAGGCGAGGAGAGAGAGAGAGAGGCGAGGAGAGAGAGAGAGAGAGAGACACGAGGAGAGAGAGAGTGAGCAGAGAGAGCGAGAGAGACGCGAGGAGAGAGAGAGATAGAGAGAGAGCGAGGAGAGAGAGAGAGAGAGACGCGAGGAGAGAGAGAGTGAGCAGAGAGAGAGCGAGAGAGACGCGAGGAGAGAGAGTGTGAGCAGAGAGAGAGCGAGAGAGACGCGAGGGGAGAGAGAGAGAGAGCAGAGAGAGAGCAAGAGAGAGGTGAGGAGAGAAAGACACGAGGAGAGACAGACACGAGGAGAGAGAGACGCGAGGAGAGAGAGACGCGAGGAGAGAGAGAGCGAGCAGAGAGAGAGCGAGAGAGCCGCAAGGAGAGAGAGACGCGAGGAGAGAGAGACGCGAGGAGAGAGAGAGCGAGCAGAGAGAGAGCGAGAGAGCCGCAAGGAGAGACAGACACGAGGAGAGAGAGACGCGAGGAGAGAGAGACGCGAGGAGAGAGAGAGCGAGCAGAGAGAGAGCGAGAGAGCCGCAAGGAGAGAGAGACGCGAGGAGAGAGAGAGCGAGCAGAGAGAGAGCGAGAGAGACCCGAGGAGAGAGAGCTGCGAGGAGAGAGAGACGCGAGGAGAGAGAGACGCGAGGAGAGAGAGAGAGAGCAGAGAGAGAGCGAGAGAGACGCGAGGAGAGAGAGACGCGAGGAGAGAGAGAGAGAGAGACAGAGACGCAAGGAACATAACAATAATTTAAACCAGTTGTAGAACTGTTGAGCAGTGTTTGAATCAGTGTTTTCCGGAGAAGCACTGTTATGCTAGCCAGACTCTGGCCAGACCCATGTAGTACTAGCCTGACTCTGGCCAGACCCATGTAGTCCTAGCCTGACTCTGGCCAGACCCATGTAGTCCTAGCCTGACTCTGGCTAGACCCATGTAGTCCTAGCCTGACTCTGGCTAGACCCATGTAGTCCTAGCCTGACTCTGGCTAGACCCATAGTAAGTAAGTAAGCTTTATTTATACAGCGCCTTTCACAGACCAAGGCCACAAAGCGCTTCACAGTTTAAACAGGTAAAAAAACAGACAAAATACAATTTAAAATGTGCATATACAAAAAATAATACTAAATATACAGTCAATATAATGGCCAAGACACCTCAGTGACAGGTTTAAAAAAAAAACAGCCGCAAGAAAATTATGTAAAAGCTTGCCCAAATAAATAGGTTTTTAGCTGACCTTTGAATGAATCAACCGATTCCATCAGCCGCAGAAAGACCGGAAGATTGTTCCAGAGCTTAGGCGCAACAGCCTGGAAGGACCGGTCTCCCCTGGTCCGAAAGCGTGTGCGTGGGACCATCAAAAGATTCTGATCCACAGATCCACAGTATGTAGTCCTAGCCTGACTCTGGCTAGACCCATGTAGTCCTAGCCTGACTCTGGCTAGACCCATGTAGTCCTAGCCTGACTCTGGCTAGACCCATGTAGTCCTAGCCTGACTCTGGCCAGACCCATGTAGTCCTAGCCTGACTCTGGCCAGACCCATGTAGTCCTAGCCTGACTCTGGCTAGACCCATGTAGTCCTAGCCTGACTCTGGCCAGACCCATGTAGTCCTAGCCAGACTCTGGCCAGACCCATGTAGTCCGCTGCACTTCACACATGAGTCTGGTACTGAGCCATAGTGGTTGGATTTCAGAAGGCAGGGCCTTGTAAAAAAATCCTTGTATGTGATTGGATAGACCACTTGTCCGTTATCTTGAATGAAGTCTGCTTTCAACCACTCACATCGAAGTACACGGCTCCCATAGGTTGCCAAATCCCAGCAAGATTTTCCAACCCAAAATCCGCGAGAATACCCACACACAAAAAACACTCAGAATGATTTTTTGGCTAAAAACGTAATATAATCAACTATTGTCTTTCTGTTTATTTAATACCTACAAGTCTCTTGGAAAAAAATATGCGGGAACCACCAAACCTGGCAACCCTGCTGCATAGTGTGTAAACAGGAACACTGAACCAGTGCTTCAACCGAACTTTACAGGAACATTTGACTCTTAAAACACACATATATCAACATAGAACCATCAACATCTCGCCTCAAATTGCATTAAAAGTGACATCCGTGTCTTAATTTGATCGTATTTACTCTTTTAAAAAGATTCGCAGACTTCACGTCCGCCATCTTGGATTCCTCTCGCTGCTGCATGAGAGAAGCTTGAGAAGGCAGTGCAAACCCTACGTAACACCGGCAATCCTGGGGAAGGCGTTAGCTATGGCGTCGATACCAGACCCATGTGGTTCAGCCAAACGCCTCTGGTGGAGCATGGCGGAACTACAAGGGTCTGGCAGAGCCTGGCTACTGTTATGCAGCTCTCTGGTCAATTTTCAACATAAAACACAGATATTGACACTTTCCTCCCGTGGTCCCCCGTGGTCTCTCAGTCTATATTATTTCTTTCTTTGATTGAAGGTCCGTTGAGAAAAAAAAATCTTCAATCAAATCATCCATTTTCCAGCAAAAGAAATAGCATAATGGGCTGATTGTTTGTTAGCAACTCGGGTATGAACTTCATGCTCACTATCGCCCCTAGTGGTGAGGCACAGATACTGCTTGCCTCACGCCAAGCTTTTTCCTTGTGTATTCTTCTCCGATCAAAAGACTTAAACTAAATATAAATAGTACACACATACGTGCAATACACTACTAAACACTATGACAAGTTTAACAAATGTTTTCAAAGCAGGATATTAGAAACAAACAGCGATATATGTATATATGTATATATATATATATACATACGTATATATATATATATATATATATATATATATATCCATCCATCCATCCATCCATTTTCTACCCTTTAATCCATTTCTGGGTCAGGGGGGTGGCAGTCAGAGATGCCACCCAAGTCTCATAGCACCAGCCCCTCACTGACCCTCTGCAGGTGGTGAGTCCACAGGAGGACGGCTGCTCTCTGAGTGTGAGCATAGCCTTGATCTTTCAGTGGGGGCTTTGGGCAAAGTGGGGTTAAGTGTCTTGCCCAAGGACACAACGACAGCAGTCATCAGTGGGAGTCGGTGGAGAAGGTGCAGAGGTGGGAATTGAACCCACACCTTCTGGGCTTAACAATGCTCTACCAACTGAGCTACTGTCGCCCTTATATATTATATATATAAATTAAAAAAAAATTGCCTCAATGTTATCCCTCTCTAAGCTCGGGTCCTCTACCAGAGGCCAGGGAGCTTGAGCAGTATCTTTGCTGTTCCTAGCACTGCACATTTCTGGACCGAGATGTCCGAGGTTGTTCCGGGGATCCGCTGTAACCACTCATCTAGCTTCGGGGTCACTGCCCCGAGTGCACCGATCACCACGGGCACTACTGTCACCTTTACCCTCCAGGCCCTCTCCAGCTCCTCTCTGAGACCTTGGTATTTCTCAAGCTTTTCATGTTCTTTTTTCCGGATTCCATCGCTTGGAATTGCCACGTCCACCACCACGGCTGTCCTCTGCCCTTTGTCTACCACCACGATGTCAGGTTGGTTTGCCATTACCATTCGGTCGGTCTGTATCTGGAAGTCCCACAGGATCTTCGCACGCTCATTTTCCACCACCTTTGGAGGAGTTTCCCACTTAGACCTTGGGGTTTCCAGCCCATACTCTCCACAGATGTTTCTGTACACTATGCCAGCCACTTGGTTATGGCGTTCCATGTAGGCCTTCCCTGCAGCATCTTGCACCCTGCAGTTATGTGTTGGATCGTCTCAGGTGCCTCTTTGCACAACCGACACCTTGGGTCTTGTCTGGTGTGGTATATCTGGGCCTCTATCGCTCTGGTGCTCAGGGCCTGTTCCTGTGCAGCCATGATGAGTGCCTCTGTGCTGTCCTGTAGGCCAGCCCTTTCTAGCCATTGGTAGGACTTCTTGAGATCAGCCACTTCTGTTATGCTCCGGTGGTACATGCCGTGTAGGGCTTGTTCTCCCATGATGGGCTCTCCTCCAGCACCTCCTCATCTCGCCACTGCCTGAGACATTCACTGAGTACGTCATCCGTTTTGGCCTTCTCCATGATGTAGTTATGGAGTTTGGATGTTTCGTCCTGGACAGTGGCTCTCACAATCACTAGTCTCGGCCCTCCTCTTTAACGGTAGGTACAGTCTCAGGGTGCTGGATGGGGGGATGGAACCCGCGCAGGCACGGTAAGGAGCTGTTCGAGGTGTTGTAAACATTCCCGTGGTCTGAATCTCTTCCTTTGGGAGTAATTCTAGCAGGGTATCTGATTCACTGGCAGGGCGTAGCTGTTAATTGCCCGGGCCTTGTTCTGCCATTGACCGGCTTCTTAGGACCTGCCTTACTCGCTGGAGGGTACTTTGGCAGTTGCCGCTTACCTCGTCACCTGTTTTCGAGGTTGCCATAATGCCTGTGGGATACCGAGAATACTTGTAACGTCCTCAACGGCTGCTATTGTTCCCTCTGGGAGTGAGATCCTGTTTTCCTGTGTGGAACTACCTTGCCCGCTCCGAGCTCACCATCCTGCGTACATTTCTCGACCCGAATGACATCCCATGTCATGGCTGGTAGATCCTGGTTGTTTGGATCATAGAGTCGATGTCTCTCTCGCTCTTGGCGGTACAGCTTGATGTCATCCATGTAAGGAGTTGACGATCTTTGCTCCTGTTCCTGAGTCGGTATCCAAAGCCAGTCTGGTCAATTACTGGCTTAGAGGGGTGAGGCCTAAGCAGAACATTGTAGGGGACAGAGCATCTCCTTGGTAGATACCACATTTGCGGAGGATCAAAAGCGACGGGGAGACGCCAGTGCGTTGGTTTGAGTGAGGTCGTAGATGACAGCGAGGCACGATCCGCCGGAAGAATAAGGATTTGTGTGAGGGTTGTGAGCGGCTAGGGAGTTATTGGGGGCGGGAAGGGAGGACTCGAAGGGGCGGGGAGGGGGTTGTGACGGACTTTAGGTCGGTCTGAAGCATGATAGTGATTGAGAGCGAGAGGATACTGGGTGAGGATCAGAGGCTTGGCTCGGATCGGAGGGGGGATGGGGGGATAGGGAAGGGAGGAGTCGAGGAGGGAGACTTGCGAAGGGTTCGACAACTGGCGACGGATCAAGGATGGAGTGAGGGACGTCGTCTACGGACGGGGCGGAGGGTGGGAGCTGTTCGAGTACTAGGGACGTTCGGGGTCTGGAGATGGGAGGGGAGTATAGGAGAGCGGATATAGTCGTCGGGGACGTGGAGGAGGAGATGAGGTCGGCGGGTGGGAGTGGGCTGAGAGGGGATTTTGGAGGTTTTTCGTCCCGCCGGGTGAGAGTGGGGATGCCGGAACGAGAGGGATCATAGATGGATGAGGAGACGATGGAGGTCGGGCGGAGGACTCGACGAGTGAGATGGATCCGCGTGCTTGGAGCCGGGGGAAGATGACGAGAGGGATGTGATGACGAGACGAGAGGGGATCTTACATGCAGGGACAGTCCTCGGGTGGGGGGGAGAGTGGGACAGGGCGTTGGATTTGTTGGAGGGGAGGGTGGAGTGGCGGGAGACGGAGTGAGATTATAGTTTGATCGACTCGTGGAGGTTGGGAGGAGAGTTGTTGAGAGGAGGCGGGGGAGCTGAAGCCGCACCCCCCCCCCCCCCCCCCCCCCCCCCCCCACCCCCCCCCCATAGGACTACAGATGCGGGATGGATCTGAGTTGACTCGATTCCGAGATTGGGAGAGAGGATGCTGGTAAGTTGGAGTCTCGGGTGTTTTAGGAGTTTTGGTCGATAGAGGAGCGTGGTGAGGTGGAGTGACGGACTTTTCGGTGCGGGGGGGGCGTGTTCGCTGGGCGGGAGGTCCCGTTTCGGGTTTGATGAGCGGGAGGGACTGGGGATAGTGTTGAAGGGGCACTGGGAAGGAGCGCGGGTGGTTAGAGAGGAGCGTCGCGAGGGGGAGAGGGGGGAGATGACGGCGTGAGGAGACGCGGGGGGAGCGAGATGTACGTAGTGGATTGTGAGAGGGAGGAACATGAGGAGACTAGATATCAGGGGGCGAGGGAGGGGAACGGAGTGTGGTGGGGATTGTAGGAAGCTTTGGGAGCAGGGGGGAGGAGGACTCTGAGAAGAGTTGGGGTCAGGGTGAATTTGTTGAGGACCGTTGCGGGAGTTATCGAGCCGGATGGTGAGGAGGGAATGAGAATGTATCGGGGATGGTAGGTGTGGAGAAGCGAGGGGAAATGGGATGTAGGAGTGGATCCGGATTTGAACTTGATGGGGCTGGTGAAGTAATTGGCTTGGCGGGGGGGACGTTAGAGAATTTTGGATAGGGACAGCGGAGTGGGGAGAGACAGGGGAGATAGGCCGGAGTGTGGTCTGTATACGGTGGAGAGGGCTTGAGAGCTAGAGAGAGTGAAGCAGGATTGTCGGTGATGATTTCAGGTGATGTGAGGAGAGGAGGAATGATTGAGTGGCGAGGGATGACTATGTGAACGCGGGGCTGAAAGGGATATGGGACGCCAGGGGCGCGGATTCGCGGAGGGAGTGCTCGGACGGAGTCCGATACGAGGGACTGGAGAGGAGTGGACAGTGACGGGGGAGGAAAAGGAGGACGAACATGCGGGACCCGAGAGACCCTATCGGATAGAGGGAATGGAAATTGAATCGTTGTGGGATGTTAGGAGTGATTTGAGGAGAGCGAGTGGATGGATTGAGGGATCGGTGGTGAGTAGGGGATGCTAGAGCGACCCCTTATTTCTGCGAGGGAGAGGACCGTTGATTGACCAGTTGGTGGGGGTAGAGGGGAGGGAGAGATCGTCGAACTGTGAGAGGAATGAGAGAGTGATGTGTTGTGGGAGGGGCGCGACCCTGGCTATGAAGGATAGATAAGCCTGTGTGGACGAGAAGGGTTTGAGAAGAATTGAGAGGCTGAGATCAAGGGACTCCCGGGAGTGCGGTTGTGGGCAGGGGAAGCTGGCGGATTGGGATTTTTGGGGAGGGATTGGGAGAGAGGAGAGTGAGTGATGCGGGTGAGAGGGATGGTTCGTTCGAGGAATGAGGATGTGGGCGAGAGGTGAGAGTTGAATTGGGGGAGCGGAGAGGGAGAGAGGGAGTGGCAGAGGGAGTGATGGAGTAGGATGGACGGCGGAGGGAGATATGATGGGATTGGCGGAGGAGGAGGCGGAAGTGGAGTGCGGTGGGGCGGATTTGTTCAAGGGAGGGAGTTGGGCGAGGTATGTGATGATTGGGTTTATGCTTGTGGGAGGGGTGGAGATGGAAGTGAGTGATGAGGGTGAGTCGACGTGATTGAGTTGGGGGTGGGCGGAGCGGGCGCTATGAGGGAGAGGGGACTGGAGGGATAGGGGAGCGTTGTAATGAGTTTGGTTTTTCGAAGACGAGATATGTTACTGGTGGGATTGTGAAGGGTGGATTTAAGTGGAAGAAGAGGTAGAGCGGGGTGCCGTAAGAGTGAGCGGGGAGGATACTTGCGTCCTGCGGGAGGGATGGGTTCGGGAAGATACGGGAGATTGTCTTTCGGAGGGGAGGGAGGCAAAGAGCATGGTGAGGGGCGAAGGGCGGAGTTGATCTAGGAGTGATGGGAGGGGAGGTTTCGTTGACGGCCGGGGGGAGGGATACTGCGGGTTGGGGATGAGGGATGGGAGAGAGGATCGTTGAGGGGAGAGGATGAGGTGGATGTATGGTTTGAGATGGAGTGTTGAGAGGGGAGGCGGGTGGGGGGCGGGGAGGAGAGTGACTGAGGGGGGATGGAGGGTGCTAGTCGGCCGGATGGGCGCGACTGGTTTAGGAGAGATTATGGGGGAGACGGACGAGTACGAGAAAGTGGTAGGAGGGGGGAGGTGTGGAGCGCCGGAGGGAAGGGGGAAGCTGGGCGGGAAGGATTGTGGAAGATGGAGGAATGCTCCGTGGCGGAGTGGGAAGGGATTGGAGGAGGGGGGGGAAGAAAGGGGAGAAAGGAGAAGGAGGGGATGTAGTGATTTAGAGAGAAGAGAGAGGGCGGAGAGGGGCCCGGTATTCTGAGTGGATGGATTGGAGGAGGGGTGATGGATCTTCGCTGATTCCTATGGAGTTTGTGAGATTTTGTAGAGTTAGTGAGGGAGACCGAGAGGAGTGACCCGAGAGAGGGGACCGCCGACGGAGCGGGAGCCGGCTGAGCGTTGGCTCGGGGGAGTGGGACGCCAGAGCCGAGCAGGCGACCAGTCAGAGGAGGATTCCTGGGAGCGAGGACCAGATGAGGCGGACTGCTTGGAGAGGTGCTTCGACACTGGAGAGTTGGGACCGGTGTGTGAGACGCGGGTGTGCGGGACCTACGGAGAGGGGTGACCGGAGTTTGAGGGAGGGATGTATGGAGGGATGTGGCTGCATGGGACGGAAGTCCGGTAGTAGTGGTACAACGATTATGGGGGAGTGGGATAGCTAAGGTTTGTCTTGGAAGTAGGGGGGGGGCCGGCTCGGAGTCGAGGTTCCAGCTAAGGGGGGTATTGTCGGCAGGCAGATTTTGAGACCTCACATGTCTATCGGCACGTGCTGAGGAAGGGTTCGTGCTGCGAGTGTGAAATTAGTCGAGGGGGCTCGGGGGATGTTTGGGGACGTATAGTCGGTCAGGCAAATGCCACTGTCGGACCTGGCTGAGGGAGGGGATGCAGAGATCTCAGGAAAGTGCTGACCGTTCCGCAGGGAGCGGGGCCAGGGGCTGCATCACGCGGCAGCAGAGCACTCCACACGGATCGCGTGACATAGTGGGAGATCGGCGGCATGTTCTGGACTAGGGCTCTTCTTTAGTGGCAGGAGGGTTGATGTAACGGGCAATAAGGCGAACAGATCCGCGTCAGTAGCAGCCGTGTGCGTTTTAGAGACTGAGAGTCGACATTGCCGGGAGCATGAGTGCACGCGGCTTGATGGAGCAACGTGAGAGCAGAATTGATGTGGAGAGCTGGGATGATGAGAGCAGAGATGCGTGTCCGCGGGACGTTGGGTTAGGGCAGGAGGGAGGAGAGCAGACGTATGGGGAGAATGCGGTTAGAGACAGCAGAGAGGACTTGTCGTAGAGAGGCAGCAGAGAGGAGCAGAGTCGTGCGGAGAGTGGAAGCTGCGGGATCGGGACGGGAAGCGGAGTGGAGATGAGCGGACGAGAGGGACTGGGGGGCATGATGAGTGTGTGAGGGGGAGAGGGGAGGAGAGCATGTGGTAGAGAGCATGTGCGATGAGCAGATGGTGGAGACCCCCGCGTCACTTGGAGTGAGAGGAGCACGTCTGAGAGAGCACGGAGATCGATGAGCATGAGATGAGAGAGGCAAGAGGACGGGCTGACCGCGCGCAGACGAGAGCGGATGGGCGGAGGGAGAGCTGGGAGATGAGTTCGAGCTTGCAGAGACGTGTCTTATTGCGCTGTGAGGTGAGCAGAGAGCGAGCAGACGAGGACGAGAGAGAGCGCAGAGAGAGAGCAATGAGAGCCGTGAGGAGAGACAGGACCACGAGGAGAGAGAGACACGATGGAGACGAGGACGCGAGAGCAGAGAGGGAGACGCGAGGAGCAGAGAGAGCGAGGCAGAGAGAGAGCGTTGAGGCGCAAGGAGAGAGAGACGCGAGGAGAGAGCAGACGCGAGGAGAAGAGAGAGCGAGCAGAGGAGAGAGGAGAGAGCCGCAGAGGAGCGACAGACCACGAGGACTGTTTACGGCGTGAGAGGGACGCGAGGGAGACGAGAGACGGCTTGCGAGGAAGAGGTCTGGAGGAGCTGAGAGCGAGCAGAGAGGAGAGCGAGAGAGGCGCGAGAGAGACGTCGCAAGGAGAGAGGACTCGCGAGGAGGAGATGAGAGCGAGCCCGAGAGAGAGCGAGAGAGACCCGAGGAGAGAGAGCTTTTGCGAGGAGAGAGAGACGCGAGGAAGGAAGGCGAGAGAGACGCTGAGGAGAGAGAGAGAGAGCAGAGAGAAGAGCTCGGAGAGAGGTCGCGAGGAGAGAGAGACGCGTGGAGAGAGAGAGAGAGAGGACAGAGACGCAAGGAAACATATACTAATAATTTAAACCAGTTGTAGAAACTGTTGAGCAGTGTTTGAATCAGTGTTTTCCGGAGAAGGCACTGTTATTGGTCTAGCCAGACTCTGGCCAGACCCATGTAGTACTAGCCTGACTCTTGGCCAGGACCCATGTAGTCCTAGCTGGACTCTTGGCCAGACCCATTGTTAGGTCCTAGCCTGACTCTCGGCTAGACCCATGTAGTTCCTAGCCTGACTCTGGCTAGACCCATGTAGTCCTAGCTGACGTCTGGCGAGACCCATTAGTAAGTAAGTAAGCTTTATTTATAAAGAGCCCTTTCACAGACCAAGGCCACAAAGCGCTTCACAGTTTAAAACAGGTAAAAAAAACAGACAATATACAATTTAAAATGTGCATATACAAAAAATAATACTAAATATACTGTCAATATAATGGGCCAAGACTCCTCTGTGTCAGGTTTAAAAAAAAAACAGCCGGCAAGAAATTTATGGTAAAAAGCTTGCCCAAATATATAGGTTTTTAGCTGTCCTTTGAATGAATCAACCGATTCCATCAGCCGCAGTATAGACCGGAAGATTGTTCCAGAGCTTAGGCGCAACAGCCTGGAAGGACCGGTCTCCCCTGGTCCGAAAGCGTGTGCGTTGGTGACCATCAAAAGATTCTGATCCACAGATCCACTGTAGGTTAGTCCTAGCCTGACTCTGGCTAGGGACCCATGGTAGTCCTAGCCTGACTTCTGGCTAGACCCATGTAGTCCTAAGCCTGAATATGGCTAGGTCCCATGTAGGTCCCTAGCCTGAGTCTGGTACTGAGCCATAGTGGTTGGATTTCAGAAGGCAGGGCCTTGTAAAAAAATCCTTGTATGTGATTGGATAGACCACTTGTCCGTTATCTTGAATGAAGTCTGCTTTCAACCACTCACATCGAAGTACACGGCTCCCATAGGTTGCCAAATCCCAGCAAGATTTTCCAACCCAAAATCCGCGAGAATACCCACACACAAAAAACACTCAGAATGATTTTTTGGCTAAAAACGTAATATAATCAACTATTGTCTTTCTGTTTATTTAATGACCTACAAGTCTCTTGGAAAAAAATATGCGGGAACCACCAAACCTGGCAACCCTGCTGCATAGTGTGTAAACAGGAACACTGAACCAGTGCTTCAACCGAACTTTACAGGAACATTTGACTCTTAAAACACACATATATCAACATAGAACCATCAACATCTCGCCTCAAATTGCATTAAAAGTGACATCCGTGTCTTAATTTGATCGTATTTACTCTTTTAAAAAGATTCGCAGACTTCACGTCCGCCATCTTGGATTCCTCTCGCTGCTGCATGAGAGAAGCTTGAGAAGGCAGTGCAAACCCTACGTAACACCGGCAATCCTGGGGAAGGCGTTAGCTATGGCGTCGATACCAGACCCATGTGGTTCAGCCAAACGCCTCTGGTGGAGCATGGCGGAACTACAAGGGTCTGGCAGAGCCTGGCTACTGTTATGCAGCTCTCTGGTCAATTTTCAACATAAAACACAGATATTGACACTTTCCTCCCGTGGTCCCCCGTGGTCTCTCAGTCTATATTATTTCTTTCTTTGATTGAAGGTCCGTTGAGAAAAAAAAATCTTCAATCAAATCATCCATTTTCCAGCAAAAGAAATAGCATAATGGGCTGATTGTTTGTTAGCAACTCGGGTATGAACTTCATGCTCACTATCGCCCCTAGTGGTGAGGCACAGATACTGCTTGCCTCACGCCAAGCTTTTTCCTTGTGTATTCTTCTCCGATCAAAAGACTTAAACTAAATATAAATAGTACACACATACGTGCAATACACTACTAAACACTATGACAAGTTTAACAAATGTTTTCAAAGCAGGATATTAGAAACAAACAGCGATATATGTATATATGTATATATATATATATACATACGTATATATATATATATATATATATATATATATATATATCCATCCATCCATCCATCCATTTTCTACCCTTTAATCCATTTCTGGGTCAGGGGGGTGGCAGTCAGAGATGCCACCCAAGTCTCATAGCACCAGCCCCTCACTGACCCTCTGCAGGTGGTGAGTCCACAGGAGGACGGCTGCTCTCTGAGTGTGAGCATAGCCTTGATCTTTCAGTGGGGGCTTTGGGCAAAGTGGGGTTAAGTGTCTTGCCCAAGGACACAACGACAGCAGTCATCAGTGGGAGTCGGTGGAGAAGGTGCAGAGGTGGGAATTGAACCCACAACCTTCTGGGCTTAAGGCCAATGCTCTACCAACTGAGCTACTGTCGCCCTTATATATATATATATATATAAATTAAAAAAAAATTGTCCACTCACCTTTGGCCCTCCGCGGGCGGTTATCCCTCTCTAAGCTCGGGTCCTCTACCAGAGGCCAGGGAGCTTGAGGGTTCTGCGCAGTATCTTTGCTGTTCCTAGCACTGCACATTTCTGGACCGAGATGTCCGAGGTTGTTCCGGGGATCCGCTGTAACCACTCATCTAGCTTCGGGGTCACTGCCCCGAGTGCACCGATCACCACGGGCACTACTGTCACCTTTACCCTCCAGGCCCTCTCCAGCTCCTCTCTGAGACCTTGGTATTTCTCAAGCTTTTCATGTTCTTTTTTCCGGATTCCATCGCTTGGAATTGCCACGTCCACCACCACGGCTGTCCTCTGCCCTTTGTCTACCACCACGATGTCAGGTTGGTTTGCCATTACCATTCGGTCCGGTCTGTATCTGGAAGTCCCACAGGATCTTCGCACGCTCATTTTCCACCACCTTTGGAGGAGTTTCCCACTTAGACCTTGGGGTTTCCAGCCCATACTCTCCACAGATGTTTCTGTACACTATGCCAGCCACTTGGTTATGGCGTTCCATGTAGGCCTTCCCTGCAGCATCTTGCACCCTGCAGTTATGTGTTGGATCGTCTCAGGTGCCTCTTTGCACAACCGACACCTTGGGTGTCGGTTGTATATATATATATATATTATATATATATATATATATATATATATATATATATATATATATATATATATTAGGGCTGTCCAAAATAGCGCGTTATTAACGCGTTAACGCAAATCAATATTAACGCCGTCATTTTTTTTATCGCGCGATTAAAAAAAAAAAAAAAAAAAGATTATTTTTTTTTTTTTACTTTTTTTTTTTTTTTTACTTTTTATTGCAGACAAACACATATACAGAAAAAAAAATAGAAACAAAGAAAAGGACTAGTTCAGATACATTGTAGACAGAGATTACAAACAATATGTAGTTGGAGATACAGGGGGCCAAAGAAGAAACCCAGAAGGGCACATAGGAGGGGAGGGGGGGGGGGGGGGGGACATGAAGTGGGAGATGGGGGGAGGGGTTAATAAAAAAGGCAATACAAGCAAACAGTATACAGTCATAGATATACCGAAGGTAAACAGAGAAACAGCATAGAGTATTTACATGAACAAATTTACAAAATATTTACAGATTGTTTATCATCATCATAATGACACCATGATGTTTCTATACAGTCTATGGTCTATACCCACACATACACACACACACCCACACACACACATTGAAGGGGCTTTTTGTTACCAATTATTTATTTTGTCATCCATTTATTGATGATTTTGCATCAAATGTTAGTGTGTAATATAACACTACACATTGTTTTCAATAAAAAAAGCAATTGCACACAGCACGCAAATGTGTGACTAATTTGCGATTAATCGCGAGTTAACTATGAAATTTATGCGATTAATCGCGATTAAATATTTTAATCGTTGGACAGCACTAATATATATATATATATATATATATATATGGTCGGAACCGTGATGAATATTGAGCTAAAACGATGTTATAGACTTTAAGTCCACTTTTCCCTTTAGCCCCACCAGATAAGAGGTCCTTTAAATATAATTTCTATCCTTTGAGCAACAACACGTGGCTCCACATATCACAGATTTGTTTTCAAAGTAAGGCGAGTTGTCAGCCGCCAGAGGACAGAGGGGAGAACAATGGCGGACACGTAAATGACTCAAACTCTTTGGGAAACAGCTTTGGGAGAGTAAATAAAAAGGGAAAACAACAAAAACATGGCCTGTATTGTAAGAATCTGACAGCCTTGACTGATTAGTTTTTATATCGAAAACAACTTTGAGTGTGTACATGACGAGATAAAACATGGTAAAAACTGTGAAAAGTAAATTATCATTTATTTTTTATGAAAACAAAGCAAAAGTGAATGTATATTTACCTCACTTCAA